GCAGGGCTCCCCAACAAGGCAAATCCCAAAGACACACTTTATCACACCTTTATTGCATGTCCAGGGGTGGGGCTAAAGCTTAGGCCCACACTTCTCCTATGAAGCATTGCCCCCACCACCCACCCAGCCAGCAAAGCACAAGTGCCACAATGAAGCTCGGGTGCCCTTCCTAGCAGCCTTCCTATCAAGCACCCAGTTCTCTATAAAATCATCCCCTAACCCCCTCAGGGGACCATCTCATAAAACGTTTTATGCCATACCATGACCCCCTAGATTTTATAGAGGTTTCTGGCACAGGGATTATAATATAATAAATTCAAACACCGTTGTGAGAAAGTTCCCTGTTCAAAATGTTCAAATGCTGAAGTTGGAATTCGGGTGTCCATCAAGGGCGTAGCAACACCCCAACAAATGGTATGGCATAAGCCGAGCCACCTCGTCTCCCATCTTGGGTTTTTTCCATTCGGACGTCTTGGCCTCGGTCAAAATCTCCTTGGAGACGCCCTCTGGCAATGGGAACTCGGGCGTCTCTGACAAGTCGTCATCGGGGAAGTCGTCGTCGTCCATCGGAATGACCCGGTCGCCAAAACCGTCGGCCACCGCGACCGTAGCTGAGCAGCCGAAAAGCTGGCAGCAACAGTGGGTGGGTTCCTAAAAACCATCCATCTCCCACGTTCGATTGATGGAAGGTCGACGGTTAACTTATATAATTCTCCCATATCATAAGAATTGTTTTTACAGTGTTTGAGATATCCATATGGGGGCTTTACTATTCAACAGCCTACAGCAAGGATCAAAGTGAACACCTTGATAAGGCTTTCCCATCTGCCCACATTCCAGGGCCTGTCCGGGAACCGAAAAAAGAACCCATTGTATTCCACGCTATGTTAATCTGTTCTCCTTGGCTGAGACAGTGACATATTCTGAGTCCTGTCAGGTGATCTTCAAATAACATCAGTCAAGTTGTCGACTGGAAAGCTGTAAGACGCATGTTGTCAAGACTTCTTAGCGGCCATGGAGTGACGTGGCGGCCATGGAGTGAGGTACGCACTGGATCACCAAACCAATTGCAGTTTTGGGGGATCACCAAACCGAAGGACCATGATCAGGGCCATTGGTGCGATCTTATCAAACATACATGTTCAACACCTGTGGTTTTTCAGGCCCGGGCTGATCCAAGTACTCTCTCTTTTTCTGGCTCTCGTTCTTCAGAAGGTCGTACCTCAGCAGCACATGCTGCTGTCATCAGAGTGCACGTGAACCTAGATGTCGGTGCTGCATAACTGAAACCACAGTTGGCAGCCAAACGCATGGATTTGTGAAGCCAGTGTTGCAGCTTGTTTCATTTCCTGACTTAGCATGTGCATGCATGTGGTACCAAATCAGAGCCTGAAATTCAATGATTCAGCTGGTGCAAACACGCCAGCCCTGGGCCCCCAGCTTTCGCTGCAAGTTTTGGACCTCAAAGCTCTGATTCCAGTGGTCACCAAAAAACTCGGTGATGGTCGAGTGCTCGGGTCATGACAAAAGCCTGTGTATATTATATATATATATATAGACCTTCCGATTGCCTGCTCAGAAGGTATAGAGCTCAACGAAACAGAGGTCGGAGCCAGGCTTTGGGGGCGAAGGTGGTTTCCATGTGGGCACCAGCCCTTTGGTGTTGGCGGACGCGCGTAGTGTTTGATATTGTTTGATGCAAAGATTTAAAAAGGCAGGCTACTGTACTATAGTAGCAAGCACGCTATTAGGTGATATCAGGTGGAGGCCATCGCTATTAGCTCGGAGGCCATCGCTACTAGTAACAAGATGTAACAAGAAGCATGATCATGCAACCAGCCTTTCTGCACAACAGGTTCTGATGGAGCCTTTCTGGTCCTCCCAGCTTCAGCCCACCTTTACAAAGAACCCACCATGAAGCCCAGGGAGGTGGAACAGCGCTAAACCATAGCTTGCCGCAGGTGTATAGTGGTCCTCCAACATGAACAGCATGCGAAGCATTGACCATTTCCACAGGTTTATCCCCAGCCTCATGTCAACAGGTGCCAACCTGACAGACACAAGTGGGGCCTCTGCCAAGACATTGAAATCACCACGGCAAATGCCCCGAAGGATCACAACTGAAACATTTATCACAGCCTACTAGCATTAGCATCTTCTCATGAGGCGCCGCCCCAAGGCTGTGCCAAGGGGCCACAGTCATCGTTTCCTCCAGGGTCTTCTCCAAGGACAAGGGCTTCTCATCTCTCAGGACAGCGATTTGATTCCTCCACACATCGCACGAGATGGGCAAAGGGTCGCACGAAGGTCTCAGCAGCCGTGGGGAGCAAAGAAACTCGTGCCCCCAATCCCAGCGGGCTGCCAGGCCTTTGAACTCTTCGTTTGAAGGTTGGACGAATTCTTAGGGACACCATTCGGATGATTCATTTTTCTTGGAGAGTTCTGGCAGGTTTGGAGGTTGATGCCTATAGGGCCTCTCAGGGGAGCAACCCATCTGCACCCTGATCCTATCAATCACATCTCTGCTGGAGGAAAGCTAAGCTTCATTTGCGATCTGCACTAGGGCAACAGCTTCAAACTTGTTGACGTTCACTGGCAGAGTCAAAGGCGCCAACAAATTCTCAAGCACTCTTGGATGCCCCCAAAGGAACACGGAACACACATCCCAGCTAGCACGAATGGTCAGTAGACTGACATGGTGAAGGACGTCTTGCGCTATCAAGGGTTAGAGGGCCTCAAGCTCTTGTTCTCCTCCTTCATCTGTGTGATGATCTCCTGCGCCAAACGACCGTTGCCGACCACTTCAGGCCCGCTGCAGGCCCGCCACCCAAACACCATGGACGAATGGGATCTGCAGGTGGCATGCGTGGCGTTCATGCCATGCCTGAAAACCAAACATGTCATGAGTGAAGACTTGGTCATGTATAAGAGTAGAGATCGTCAGAAAATAGACATCATATTATATAGATGGACATAAACTCTCAAAGGGTCTAGTAGGTTCATGGAAGCTCCAACGATGGTTGGGGTGGCAAACGTGTCCGCAAAATTCACCACCCAACCTCCGGAGCCCAATGAATTCATGGGACACATCGCCAAACTTTATAGAGACCCCAGACCCCAGATGAAGAGACCCACCCGATGTTGAGGCATTCACTCAAAAGTCATGAGCAGTAGCTCCAGCTGCCACCTCTTGAAAGCAACCAACATGTCCAACACTGACTCTGTTCATCTCTGCTGGGCTGTGTGGTTTGAGTCCTTTCTTTTCACATCTAAAAGACGACGCCGTGCTGGTGACTCGGTCCGTCATGCTGGTCATATCTGGTCACATACCCTAAAGCACTTGTATATGGAATACATTCCGCCCCAGAAAGACTCTCCAAATGAACTCCAACTGATCTGACCAAGATGGTAGTCCCAAACAGGGCTGGTGTCTAGGTACACCACCCTTCACTCATCCTTCGCTCTGAAAACGAGCCCAAGAAGAGCTGAGCCCATGCTCTCCTTGTTCTGCTGAATGTTCAGCTTTGCCGTCTCATAGGTCGCCTTTCGGCCGCAACGGGCCCAGGCCGAGGCGGCGGGTTCGCGGGTTCGGAGCTTCGGGCTTTGCACCAAACCGGGGCGTCTGGCGAATCAAGTGCTTTCGGACCCCCATGTGTTTGAGAGACTCTTGGACTGGGACATGACCCTCACAAACTCAAAGTCCCACCGAATCCCACCGACCTCGATGGCAATTCCAGGGGGTCGAAGCGTGCCCAAATGTGTCTTTTTCCTTGATTGATGCAAGGGACTGCTGGGGAGCGCTTTTGAACGTGACAGTGGTTGCACCGCGGCCAGTCACAGACTGTTTGAAGAAGGTCTTGTACTATACACCAATATTCTTCTATGACGTGCATGTTAGTCACTTGTTGAAGAGGAGGATTGGTACTTGGCCATTGCCCTACGGCGCTCCCAACCACTGTCTCTCTGAACTGCAACTTCCTCCGTGGCTTTCCTAATGCCAGTAGTACAAGGGAGCCCCAAAAAAAACAATGCAACAAGTTTTAATGCACTTACCGTATGGTAAACCAAGGAGTACAGTGGGGGGGGGCGGTCTATACCCTTTGGGTAGTGCTGGTGCTTGGTCAAAACCCACAAGAATGGCATGAACAATTAACAATTCAGTTCGTACAGTAGTAGTGCAGTATCAGCTCATCTGTTCAAAAAGATCTGCGGTCGGACCCGATCGGACTCTGGGGAGAAGAAACCAGCGACCCAGCGGCACCATGCTCACCTGCCATCTTCCACCCTGCACCGCCTGCACTGCCCTCAACCAGCCAAGCAGTGCACCTTGCGCTCGCCCTCCAACAAAGTGAAACGTCGTTGGAGATCCTCCAGCTGTTCCTCAGGACCTCGGCCGTACTCGACAGGGTCTGCTTGTTTGAGGCTTGGGGCAGGGAGAGCCTTGACGGGCTAACCTGTTGGAGGGGCCTCTCTTCCGGAATCTCAGGTTCCAGCTCATGGCATTCTTGGTCTTGTCCATGGCTCCTGAGACACACCCGCGACTCTCTGGACGTGCAAAACGATGTAGAGAAACATTCTGGACCGTTTGATCCAGTTCCTCTTACTGGCGTGTAATGTTCAGCCAAAGCATGTAATTCTGCTTCAGCATATATGCAGGTCCCCTGGTGGCCGCAACAAAAACTTAAGAGCAAACCACCAAAGCTCTAACCATAAGGGCAAAATCTTTTGAAAAAGCTATGCCACTTCAGGTTGCCTCCAGTCAACCCTCCTCCCATTCCGGCAGGACATTCTCAAAAAGGAACAGCAGAGAAACACCGCAGAGATTCTTTATCTCACCAGCGGGCGAAACACATGTTTGGACAAACTCCTGACGCAACACTCACCTTGGAGAACATCTTTCATCATATGTTTCTATCATTCTCTCCCACCCAACGCATCGTTCACGCGTGCCGCATGCGCGTGCGGAATAGAACAGGACGTGCGGTGTCATCCTTGATCCGGGAAGGTGCGCAGTGCTGAGGCCAGGCAGCTGTGCCAAAGGCTTGAGCCGAGCGGCCGAGCGGCCAAGCAGCAAGTCACGGCTCTGTCACCATTAGCTTTGACCCCCAGGGGAAAACGGTGAACCTGGATGGGCCATTGCCTACAAACATGCCGTGAAGAAAGTTTAGGCGACTAAAAGAGCCAAACTCATGAAGCCAACTTTCTGTCGCAGTAGTGCATGGCTGCGAAGCAAGTGGGTTGAACATAGGTGACGCGAGCCGAACACAACCGTTAAAGGTCCATTCCATGTGTGCATCAATGCCGCCCAATAAACTAGCGCAAAAAATGTGCAAGCATGATACCATCTCAGATCCCCATGCCAGGCTACTCTCTTAGAATTTCAGACGTTTTCAGACGCCAAAGCTCCGAACCTCTCGGCGCAGCCACACCCGCAGACCGAACCTGCTTGCTGCGGTCGAGCTCCATCAGCATGGGCCCGAACTTGGGCACCTCATCGCCCCGACGCTTCGACCCGGTCGAGTCTGGACCGCCGCGGCTCCCGAGCCGCGAGATTTGAAAGGGAGCTTTTACCGTCTACCGCGCTGCAAGTGCCAGCGAGAGGAGAGCTGTGTTAGATCAGAAATCTTCAATTCATTAGGTTTTGGGGCACCAAGTTCGTTGAACACCAAAAGCTTTTGGGCCTCAAGGAATTCGCACCGGAAAACACGGGGGACATTGCACCTGTTTGGCTCAGCCTCAGAAAGGGATGCATTGAACAAAGCAACCTTCGGCCACCCAGCATCGAGTCCTGACTTGTGACTTATCCTGATGGATGGTGCTTGACAGTCTGACAGTCTCTGAATGTCTCTGACACGTGGCATGAGCTCGCCAGCACACCAAAAGGGAAAACATGAAGCGTTGTTCTGGTCACAGCGTCTGAGGCGCTGCCACAACAAAGGCATCTACAAGTGGAACGGTGGAGATGAGCCGAACGGAGATGGCACGGGAAATCGTCACGGGAGCTTCGAGAAGTCGCGGTCTGACCAACTCCCACCGCAATCTCGGTGAACGCGGGACACATCAGTTTGCAGAACGGAAGGGCGGGACCTTTGTTTGACAAACGAATGTAATGACCATCCAACGCGTTGGGCCTCTTCGAAGGGAAGGGTGAATGCCAGAATGCGATCCTCAGAGCGCTCTGCTTGGAACACTCACACTGGAGTGGAGAAATATGAGTTGCAAAATAGGCGTAAAGAGGCAGCTACAATGCAACTGATACAGCTACAATTGCAGATTACTACACTTACAGCTGTATCCGATGACAAATATGTACCTTTCAAACTTAGTACAACTTTTCAAACTTAGTGGTTGATCTGTTCCAATCGTTCAATCCTTTACAAACCATCGGCATTTCACGCCTTGGTCCAAAGATCATGTCTAATTAATTATCGATCTATACAAATGGGCATCGTCGGATTGAAATGCCGGTTGCCGCTCCTTGCGAGTGACTTTTGTCGAGGAGTCAATTCAGGTCAGGTCGAATGTACTCTCGCATTGTTCTAGACAGAGGCTCTTGGAAGGCCTTGAAAGTGCCGTCTCACCTTCCAGATTGCCGTAACTCAAACATCGAAATAGAACCTCCCCAACCCCCTTCCGTATACCCATTGTTTGCCAATCCACCTCAAGGCGAGCTGCTCACTACTTGGGCAAAAAGAGGGTTCTGACCATAGACACCATGTAACACATATGCATATGCATAATATATGATAAGGTGTCTATATAAATATATCCAAAACAGATCCAAAAATACTTATTGTCCCGTACATATATATATATATATAACCCAAATTGAAGAGAGAGAGAGGATCCAACATGACAAGTCAGTTGATGAACCTACTTCTCAGTTTGTCCAATCATCGAACGGTGGATTTAACTGTATTCAGATCTATTCTGCCAGGTTCATGATATCTGGCCGCCTTGCATCACCCACCCCTGCGGACCAACCGTGCTCTCCGTTTGTGCCCTCCCTGCCCGGCCATGCCTGGCCGGGTGCCAAGCAGCTGTTGTGGCCGACCCAGAGGAGACGGAGGAGTCCTCTGCTGTTCGTAAGGTGGCACTGGGAATGTGCGTCAGGATCACGTTGGAGGCGTCCTGCGGTTCCGGAGAAAGTCCACCACCACCACCACTACTACTACCACTACCAATACCACTACTCAAAACTACTATTTCTTCTACTGCTACTGCTACTACTACTGCTACTACTACTACTCCTCCTCCTCACAGGCACACGGGCGCACGGGCATACGGGCACACACGGACAACGTCACAAGTGAGACCCTTTCCCGGAAGAGTCCGTCACACATGGAATTGCTGAAGAGGGCGGCCCAACAAGCACAGGCAACTGGCAACTGCATGGACGTTCTGATGAAGTTCTCAAGAATTTTAAGTAGGAAAGTTGTTTCTTTCCCAACTCGCGAAATTTCAGAATGAGACTTGAGCTCAACTGCAGGAGAATTGACTGTCATTGCCAACGCAGGTTTCTATATGAGCTTCTGGGCCCCTTGGTTAGAAAAACAAACTCAACAGGAACGAAGCAGAACAAACTATGCAAAAATTGAAGGGACAAAAATACACGTGAACCAGTATACACAAAAATATAGATAGATATTAATAGAACGAAGCAGTGAACACCGAGGGACTCAGGAAGTGATCTTCTTGCGGCCCTTGTGAATAAAGACTGGCAGATATATTCTATCCTTTTAATATATCCTTTCCTGCATCCGTGAAGGACCAAGGACAAACCAATAGTATTGTTAGCATGATTATGTGATAGGAAGAGGGAGGAGGCTCATTTTGGAACACACAAATTGGCTCAATTTGGAACACACTGGTTTTGTCCGTTTGGGCTCATTTTGGAACACATAAATTGGCTCATGCTGGAACACACGCAATATTACATCTGCAGGCTCAACGACGGGTGTGTGGAGAAAGGGGGGTCAGCTAAAATCGCTTATACGAATTTCCTCCAAAACGTGCCCGCGTTCCAAATTGAGACCGATTCCGAGTTTGTCAGCTTGAGGCATTTTGGGCTCCTTGAAAAAACAATTAATAAGTGAAAACTCACAATAATACGTAAGCTTAGATTAGATAATGATATAGATACCACAATGCCACAATCGTATGCTAAGGTTTGCTTTGGTTTTTGGCCTTGGTCGCATCAAGCGGTATTGATTACCGTCACGCTCAGTGGCAAAACTGGCAGCCACTCAACGCAATTCGCACGATGCAACCCTTTGATCAAGTGATTGGACAAGTGCTGCCCCAGCCACCACTGGAGCTGCAACACTAAATTGAACACCACGGACCAGGAGTAAAATATGATTATATACAAGAATGAAGCACGAAAAGTGGAGTCGTGTCAGAACCTAAATGAGTGTCCGTTCTGGACTTATCTTCATCAATTTCTGACTCGCTCTATGTTTGTGCATGTTTCAGCCATAACTTTTTCTGTTTGGGTCATCGTTCATGATGTCCTGCCTGGAAGTTCTGGGCGTCAGCACCATCCCTGAACTGCACCTGGCAGGCCAAGGTGGCTTGAGTCATTTCTGTGGCTGGCCTCCCCGTGTCATGCCGAATGAGCTCCATATCATAGTAGGGAAACGACATCACGCAGGATCCGCAGCAGGACATAGCAGGACCCAAGACGGTATGGGACAAACACCTGCGCCTCATGGAATTCCCATGGGCACTATAAATTGTGTTTTCTTGTGTTGGTCATTTACACGTTTCGCCGCACCTTTCATCCATGCCATTAACACAGGTGCCGAGAACCGCATGCCACACCGCAAGTCATAAGATCAAATAGGATCTGCTAACTGAGGTTCTCGGACTGTCACGACATTCACCACCCGCGACACTCCAAATTCCCCACCCCTGTGCTGCACTCATTGGCATGTGCGCATATGTGCGCCTGGAGTAAGTAGCCAAGGCCAAATTGAAGCTTCAAGTCTCTTGACGTGCCACACGCCTGCACCCGACCCCGTGCCAAGACCGCTTTGCGATCCGCCAAGACGTCGGCTTCTTCCAGGTAGTGGGTCGTGAAAATGATGGAGCGGCCTCAACGAGGGGAGGAATGTGACGCCCAACACAGGATGCGGACCGGCTTAGGCCTGGGTGACTTTTTGTAAGTCCCAAAACGTCCCAACTGACTGGTGCAGGTGCGCAAACTTCAGGAAAAAAAACAGCTCGGCTCCCACAAGAGGCTTCCCACTTCGTCTCCAGCGAACTGCTGTTGGCAGAGTTCGCCAGCATCTTAGGAAAGGGCGACAAAACGTGATGGGTTCGTTCCCATCGGTCAGTTCGCTTTTCTTTTGGATCCCGAGCCAGGTGATTCTCACAACAGCAAAGAGTCAAATTGCGGAATTGCCTTATCTAATCCCATGACCCTGCGGATCACATACACCACAATCCCAACTAAACGACTCTGATCTGATCCTTCAAAACCGGGCACCGGCCCCATGGCCTTGCCGGCTTCACCAAGGTTAAAAGAGTGGACACCCCCATCGCCGACCACAAAGGGACTGTTTTCTTTGTGTGTAGTTTGGCCTTGCTATGTTTGGTTTGAAGTGGTTTCCAAATGCCAATGGTGCGATATATGCTGCCCGAGTTGCCTTGCATTATCAGCATGTTGTGTTTATGCTGCCTCTCATCCTCGCCTCTTCTCTTCTTGTTATTCTTCCTGTTCGTTGCCTCCTCGGCCCCTGTCTCTTCCTCTTGCTGCTTGTTCTTGCTCTTTCTCTTTCCGTTCCTATATATTCCTCTCTTCCTCTTCCGCTTCTTCTTTCTTCTTCCTGTTCCTCTCTTCCTCTATTTCTCCTTCCTGTTCCTCTTCCTCTTTCTCTTGCTTTCTATTATTCTCTTGCTCTTCCTCTCCCTCTTCCAAGTGAGAAAAGACAACAAGAGACCGAGCGAAAGAGAGAGAGAGAGAGAGAGAAAGAAAGAAGACACAGACAGAGAAAGAGAGAGAGAGAGAGAGAGACACACAGAATGACACAGAGAGCGAGTCAAAGAGAGAGGGGGGAAGGAAAACAAACAACCTCTTCCCTTCATGCCGGCCGGTGCCCGGCTGTCAGGCGTAAGCCTTAAGCCTCCTCTCGCGCCTGAGGTCCTCATCCTCAGCAGCAGTTCCCACAACTGTCGTCGACTGGAGGGGTCCATGCCACTGGTTGGCTCGTCCAAGAAGACCAGCGGCGTCTCGCCCAAGAGAGCGGTGGCCACCCAAAGTCGCCGCTTTTGACCCCCGGATAAGGTGGTGCAAAGATCGTCCACCTTCTCCGGGATACCTACCAACCCGATTTTGAGGCGCTGGGAAGCGATTCTGAGATGCATTATAAATATAGGTGATATGTTCTGCGTTTGGGTTTCTGCTTTTTCTTGGGTCCCGTGACTGACCTGAGTCAACGACACCAACAACAAGATACAAAAAGAGTAGCCAAAAGTGGGATACATTGATGCGGATCGTGCTTTGTCCCATGGCGGCCGGCGGTTGTCCAATCAGGGCACCTATTATATAAGCATACAAATCAAACAAACAAATCAAACAAACAAACAAACTATATATACAAACTATATACCATGTTGATCAAAGTGCATCAAATGCCTTCCAAATAACGATGGGACCCGAGCACCGGCAGTGGACATGACCGGTTCATGGGACTTTGGACATCGGTCCAGGTGTTGGTGGAACGGTTCTGGGTGCTCATTGACCAAGAATCGGTGGCAACCAAGCATGCTAAGTGCAAGCAGGCGGCCCAAAGCTGTCAGGACTTCAATGACTTTGGGGCCTTGCATTTGCTCACCCACGCCACGCAAGCTGGCAAAGAACATCAAATGCTGACGAACGGTGAAGACATCATAGAGCGGATTGTCCTCGGGCAGAGCTCCGTGACAGCTGGTTTCAACTGTATTTCTGATATTTTCTGATGGATTCGCCCTTGGGTGGGAACCTTCCCTGTCTGGCTCGGCGCAGCGCCCTGGTTTGGGACATAGGTCTCACAGGTTTGGCACATGCACCCAGAAATGCATCTCTGAGATTCTTGGGCTTCAATAGATCCAGCACCCTCTTTCCCTCACACCTCTCCTGTGGACACACGCTGATGTTCCGTCGCACGGCCTCCAGCTCGGTGTGCACGTCGTGGCCATTGACCGTGGCGTCCCCACTGGTGATGGGGATCAAACCCACCACGCAGTTGATGCCTCACGGAGAGGCTATGTCTATGTGGCGATGCGACCCGGAGACCACAGAAGGAGGTGTCCCCCGAAAAAGATCCAACAGTGAGGTGTTGTATTGCTTTTAGTCAAGAGCATTTGATTGGGGGACAACAACATAGGTTTCAGACCACTTCCAACACTTTGAGAGCGGAGATGCTAAAATGATCTAAAATGTTAAATTTTGCTCAAAAATCGGTAGAAGATGCAAGAAGACTACAGAACCCTACCCCGTGAGGTCGACATGTTGGGAAAACAAAAAGGCCCCCTAATCACCACAAGCAGCAAATGGTGACCCCAAATGGATCAAGCCGCCAATTTCATTAATTAGAAATGCCACCGGTTCTTCCCTGATCAAGCCATTTGTTTGGACCAGATGCACGTGGTCTTGCCAGCTCCATTGTGGCCCAACAGTGCGAAAATCTCTCCATGCTGGATCTCCAGGTCGATACCGTCCACGGCCACCTCTGACAAAGGGTCCACTGTGCGAGGGTCGTCATGCGAGTGGGGGCTCTTTCATGATGGAGGGCCTCTACTATCAATTTAGGGATTTGCGGCTCTTTTCACGGCCATTAAGAGTGCGTCACATATGAAAGCCGCTATCATATGTTCATTCCTGATCATACTACATGGCAGACGGTCTGCCCAAGGCGGCACACGGTCCCCTTGTCCCGCAGGACGTCCCGGGTCCAACAGACGAACTCGTCTCCCGAAGAACCGCCTTGCCGCCCTTGAAGACCTTGCGAAGGTTTCGGAGACTCATGGCCGAACTTCGAGCATCTTCCTGGACCAAGCTGAGGTTCAGCTCCCTAGCTCTGGACCTTCTGGGACACATGTAGGCTGGGTCAATGCAGAAGAGACAGGGTTTGGCTTGCCCGAAGTCGCCCTGCCACACCTGCTCAAACCACCAAGCGATAAAGCCATACAGGATGATATTGAAGAGAATCATGATAAAAGATTCTCCAGCTGAGAAGACGGGGAATTCCTTCACACATGGGTGCTCTTCATCGTAGGGGGCAATGCAAAATTCACTCACAAAGGCCGTCTTGCTTGAGATGCCTTGGTAACATCCAGAGGCATCGCAATAGTACAGGGCCTCGCTGTACAAAAGCACGGCAAATCCATTAAACAGGTTCACTGTGGGCAAGAGGCTAGCCACATACCACAACAGTTTTGGTAGGCCTCGAAGCCATCCTTGCATCGCCTCAGCGATAAGAAGGAACACAAGGTTGATAAAGCCAGAAAAGGCTGAGGCTGTCTGAACCCGGTTGAGCAACACTGATACGATCACGGCAAACTCCAGTTGTTGAATGTAGGCCGCTAGCAGCAGGACAATCACGAAGACTGGATTGGACTTAGACATCACTGGCTCGATGATGCCCAAAAGGAAATAGATCACCGTCACACAGACCAAAGCGACGATGCAAAAGTAGCCTGCCCAGGAGATGAAGTACATCACCGGTGTCAAGCCATAGATCTCTTGCACCTGAACAATCTGCCCAGCAAAGCACCCAGCAGGACGTTCTGAGCTGATCATGTTCATATATCCCCCCCCCCCCCACCCCAAAAAAAGGCATTCTGCTGGTTCTTTTGGCGGCTTGGTCCCACTTTTCTGGATGCTGACGAACGCATCGAGACTTCTCGAGACCTTCTTCAATCAATCACGGAGGTGTGGCGGGGGAAATCTCTCCGGCGGAACCTGCCGACACGAGGTGTGGCAAAGATATGCAAAGATATGGAAGTAACAAGCTGACTCCAGTTTGTGTGCTGCTATTTCTCGGCTTTGAAGTAACAGCTGGTGCTGGCACCTGAATGGGAATGAGATGAGGGATGTTCGCCTGGAGAGTCCATGAGGGGATGTTTAGCCTCATTCCATGCACTCGTCACCAAAACCTCTCAGTTGAAGCTAAGGGGCAATCTTCATTTTCGATTCCTTTTCGGTCACCAGCTCGACGATGGCATTCTGCAGTGCAGCTTGCACGCTGAGAACCATGTAGAGCGGCACCGTCAGAGCCAGGGCCAAGGCGCGAACATCACCGGCATCGATGTTGGCGAAGACATGAAATAAGAAGATGCTGACCAAACCTGGGCCATTGTGCCCAGGTGTAGTCATGTTTCAGAGTTCTTCTTTGAAAAAAAACATGCTGAATTTATATAATTGAATTTAGATGACCAAACCTGGACCAGTGGGTAAACAAAAGTCGTCATGGTTCTCTGCGGGAAAACATCGACCGGGTAGAGCTTGGGAACAGTAGAACACAGCGGTCTCTCAATCTACACCCTAAAGTGGGTAAATATAATGATATATGGTACAACATGATATAGAAGTAAAGTAAGCCAGGAATCTACTTGACCCCATGAATCTATATTAGACCAGAACGCACCAGCAATCTCAAAGTCCTGAACCCTCATACAGTGGGTTTGAAAGACTTCAAAGGCCAAACGAGGCCACAGCTGTTGTGCCCCTCCAAATCCAACGGCCTCAGCAACCTACTACAAAGACCCCGCCTGTTGATAACATCCTGTATCAAACTTATTGGAGGCCATGAACATCATCTACCAGTCTACCAAATCCTATCAAGCACGAGTTTGGGGGAGTCCAGTGACAAGAAGAAAATGCAAAAAGTAGCTGTAGCTCCACCAGAATCCAAGAAACAGTACATCACTGCGGGCCACAAACTGGTCAGAAGCCTCCGCCTTTTCCGAGCAACCTTGGCTGCGCGACAAGTGCAATGAAGGCACCACCAGCAGGCATATCAGTTTGCAGTGTGCATGGCAAAGATTGACCTACAGCTTGCAACGCATGGCAATTCTCACCCGTTACCGCAAATCCAAGCGACATAGAGATGTTTTTTCATCATTGTCTTGAAAATGTTGAAGGACGATGGTTCGGGCATCTCCAGCTGTATTTGGGGCACGGGTGGCACGGCGCGCCCGTGCTCCACCGTCACCAGTTCAGACATGTTCGACATGGCGATGTGTTCTTCTCATGATCCAAAATACCGTTGGCAAATAGGACACTTCCAGGGACAAAGTTTCCAGAAAAGTGTGTTGAATTGCATATGTTTCTTGAAAATGATGCTTAGTTTTTGCACACTTCTCCTCTCTTGCCGTCAATGCAGAGTCGCTTCTGTCTGTTTCTTTTCTTTTCTGTTTTTGTTCTTCCTGTGCCTGTGTCTCTTGATAATCTTCTTAGCGTTACTAAGTTCTCTTTGTTTTGGTTCTCTTTGGAGAATCTTCTGCTTCAACGGTGCTTCTTTTGGTGGAACCCCCACGAATGTCCTACGTAAAATCAGGCATCCCGCGACCCAGAGACGCTGTTCTTTCTTGCCCGCACCGGGCAAACCCGGGCCCCTGCACAGGTGGGACTTTCTCACTTAAGGCGGACCGTTCAGCGGTGGAAGCGGAGGCGGTTCGCGGGCTTCGGCGTCGCGGTTCACACTCGTCGCACTCAGCAGTCGCTTCTTTGGACGCTTCGGCCTCACGCTCGTCACGCAAGTGGGAGCGACAGAACCAGGGGGGAGAGTTTCGGGAAGTTGGCTAAATCATGGTTTGGAAATGTTTGGATCGATTTGGCCAGAAATCCCAGCAGTGACTGATGCCTTAAACGGACATGATGTCACATGATTCTACTACGAAGCCAGGCTCGATAGAGAATCGAACCGGTGAATTGTTGCCGAGGCCTCAGTTCGTGAGGGGATCTCTGCTTGCCACCAGTAGGGGCAAGGGATTTGTGATGATGTATGCTGCATACATCCATTCATTTTATGCTACGACCTCTACCCATCTTTACCCACAGGCCCCACTGGGGCCAACGGCACACTGCAGCGTCTCAGCCTGTGCAGCCATACTGAATCAAAACTACATCAGCACTGAATGAGGGAAACATGGAAGGGGGAGAGGCTCCGTTTGTAGATCTTTCAGATCTCCAAGTCTGTGGCCCACTTGGCACCTAGCGGCCCAAACAGTGGTTTGTTCAGGCAAGTGCTTCCAAAACTCACACATGGAAAAAATGGTTTCAACAAGCACAACGTAAGTTGCATAACCTATACCGACCCGGTGGCGAATTCATCAGCCGACCTGGTGGCGATTTTCTGCGGGTCCAACGCTTCCTCCAAAGTAAGGCAACCCGCCTGCTGAAGCAAAGCAGAGCAGTCAGGAACGTATTCTGAAGATTGGTTCATAAGTCCCAACTGAGTAGATCAGTTAGGGTGTTGCTTACATACCATGTTGGGTGCCTTGACTGCTTAAGGGGTCATGAGTCAAGTGTGCTGAGTAGTATGTATATGATTCAGTGGATGCCTGGAGCTACCTTTGTATGGAAAAATGAGCTGTCATGCCCAAGTATGCCATATGCCTTGCAAATTTCCAAATACATGATCTGCACCCGGCGCAACAGGACGCAATGACAATGCAGAATTGATTAAACCCTACACGCACCTTCACCTACACAGCACACTCTCTCAACTTTTGGCATCCAACGTGTGATGAAGGGGTCACTTTGGACGCGCTGCAACTTGCAACATTTGAGAAGTCTCTGGCGGAAATTTGAAAGAATTGTGTGGAAAGTTTGATGACCTTGGAAATTTGCAGCACGCCCGAGCAAAACATTTATCCAACGCATTTGTGGTCCAAGCCCCTCCTTGGGGACGCCCCAGCACTGCATTTGTCATTGTTTCATGTGTTTATATTGCAAAACATAACATTTTCACATGTTTAATCAGAACGGCAGCTCCTGGGAGTGCAGTTTTAACGTTTTTTTCATTAGCTATAGGCCTAGATTTTAAAGTGAAAATGAAAGGAATTAATCACTGGCAAAGGATAAATGAAAGGATTAGATCATCAATTTTAAAGGGAATATGAAAACAAATATATTATCATATCAAAAAAAGGAAATGACATATGGAAGCGATGAATCATTTTAAAGACGGGGGGCAAAAACATCGTAAAAATAAATATTTCCAGACTCTGGAGGGGGGGGTCAGCCAAGACTCTCTGAATTGTCTTTTGTTTTCTCGACGTTCTTTAAAAACAAAAAACAAAACTGCAGACCCCATGGTCCATCCCAAGACTTCAGACATAAGGTGTGCAGTTCCTTTTAAGAACGGTTATTTCCTTATATTTCCTTTGAAGAATAATTGTGTATTTGCATTGCTCTTCTAAACATGATTACTTTCCATTAAGGGATTATGCTCACTTATTTTTCAGTTTAAAATGATTATGTTTTCTTTACTTTTCATATTAAGATTAGTTGGCTCCCTTTAAGAGATTAATATTTTCAATTTGTTTCCTCTCTAAAAAGTTATTTCTTTGATTTCCTTTTCAATATACAATTACTTCCCATTTTAAAAATGATTGTTTCCTTGTATTGTCCTTGTAATAATGGTTATTGTGGTGTTTGTTTCATTTTAGACATACGTGTTTGACTGCTATTTCCTTTAGATAATGATGAATTCCTTTCATTTTCTCTTTAAACAAATATTGATTTTCTGTGTTCCTTTAAATACTTTTTTGATTCGTTTCATATGCCTGTTGAAAATGAACAATTCCTTTGATTTTCCCTTGTAACAATGACTTTTTCTTTTTAAAATGACAGGATGTTTTAATATTAAAGGATATTATGAAAATGAAAATGAAAGGAATCGTTAAGTTTAAAAGGAGAAATGAAAGGTAATCATAAAAAGGAAAAATGAATAAATTGATATTGTTTCTTTAGAGGAAAATTCACAGGAATTTATCATTTGCAAAGGATGAATGAAAGGAATGGATCACTTTCAATGTTCAACATGAAAATAACAGTGTAATCATTTTTAAGGACAAAACATGTATTAAGAAATTTAAAGGGAAAATGAAAGCAATTATATAATCATAAACCTGAAGGGAGATTTGAAAGAAGTTATACAACTTGCAAGTTGAAAGGAGTTCATAAAAAGGAAAATGACATATGGAAGGATTAATGATTTTTAGAAGGGAAGATGAAAGGAATTGTTCAATTAAGCAAGAAAAATGAAAGGGAATCACAAAAGGGAAACAGAAATATAAAAGGAAATGATCATTTTTAAACCGTCACAAGAGGGCCAGACCCAAGAGCAACTTGACACTAGATGCTGTAAGCCACAAAACTAGTGCATACACCGCGTATGTGTGACGGGCCCCTACTGCATCCGTCGTGTCTGCTTGACTTTCTTCGTGTGCCCACCTTCTCCTTCTACTTCCTGCTTTCTCCTTGTAGCTTCGGACAAAGCGCGGCAGTAAACACAGTGGGTTCGTTGTGGAAAGGGCCGTCAGCCCACGAATACATGTTGGTTTGGGACGTAATGTTTGTGGACCTTCAGAAATTCTTGTATGTACATGTTTTCGGCCGATGGGGCGGTTGGAAAGCACACCCGCAAAGACCCATGTGCGAGCGAATTCTTTTCTTGAAGGTTTTGAGGCTTCAGCGAAGAGGCTTCCCAAGGACAGGCGGACAAGCACGTGCAATTGAAAGGCAATGATGGGCAAGACATCTTGCAAGATATAAATGGTACAAATGGACCCTGTAATGGTCTACATGGCCAGTACAAATGGTATTATGCTTCATGATGAACGAACATCTTGGTCGAGGCATGGCATTACCGCTCTGTTCCAGTGTCCTTGACTTCGCTCAGCAGCGCCCGGCTTGCACTATGGATGCATGAGTTTGACGAGGCTGCTCCCCTGATGAACTCGTTGGCCAAACGGCCAGTTCAAGGTTACGTGTCCGCCCAAAACAATCACGACGTGTCCATTCCAGTACCCGGCTTCCCTGCATCCTGCAGGACCCTTCTTCCTGCTTCTGTCCTTCTTTTTCGTTCTTTCCCCTTCCTCTTGTCTCTTCCTTCTTCTTCCTCCTCTAAAGCTAAATGCAATAAACAGATACGAATAAGCAGCAAACACTCACAACGTGTCAATTCCAGCACCAAACTTTCCTGCATCTTGCATGACCCTTCTTCTACAGTACCTTCTTTCCTTCTTCCTCGTTCTTTTACCTTTCTTCTTCTTCTTGCTTGTTCCTTCCTTATCTTTCCTTCTTCTTCACCCATGCCATTGCATCCTTTACATCATGACAGCCCCCGTCTGATTGCACCACTTGCATCTACAGCCTCCTCAAAACTTACAATTTTGCTCAACTCACGTCCACCCACTTTTGGCCGGTTTTCCCCAATAACTTCTGATTTTTGACCTTCCAGAACTCCTCAGTTTGCAACGCCCAGACCCCCAAATACTCACTTCGTTCGCTATTCAGACGTTCAGCCTAGGCTACGGCTGGCTTTCGTAAATATATTCAATCACATTCAATCTTCTAAAAAGGTGCACTCCCACAGCCTGCCACTCTCCAAATGATCCAGCATGGCACTTGGTCCGGCGTTTTGAAATATCGCGTCTTTGTTGGGAAGCCGGGTGGTCCAGGTATGGAACATTTGCTACCTTGGGAATTTAGAACAACATATCAACCTGGACTCTGGACGCCCAACAAATGCCGTTGGACCTCGTTCTCTTCTTATTTGGGGCATCTCGCCCACTCCTCCGCGGCGGAACTCCAGGTGTCTCGGCTCTCACCCGATCCATCGGCGCTTCGCCAGTGGCCACGCCTCCCGAAACTCGCCCACGGCGATCCGTCGCAAGGACCTCTGACAGCGGGGGGCTCCCCAGGGGCTCGAACGCTCCGAGCGCCGGAGTCAAAAATGCATGGTCGAAGTTGTACAAAAGGTCTCACTGGGTCATGCTTTAGACATGATGTAGTCTTTGGTGCACTCTGCGTCTCTGGTGCCTTCAGATCCTTCCGTTTTTCTTGGCTCTGTTGGTGTGATGTTTCGTTCAGAATCCTGCGAGTGATGGTCTACCCACCCAACATCGATGGGTTCTGGTTCCGCGCGTGGCACTGAGCCACTGGCGTGACATGGCCGACAGTGCCGACCTGGAGCCGAAGGGAATTTCTTGCAAAACTCACTTGGCGGTCCTGGACGGGTCCAGTAACTGATGAAAGGACAGGTCCAGGGAGTCCAGGATAGATGGTTTGATGGTTTGTCAATGTTTAATGTTTGTCATATGTTTTTTGTGGTTAAGTTGTGTGGGTCCACTTTATCTAGCTTCTATCTCGCTTTCTGCGGTGTAAGAGAGAGAGAGAGAGAGAGAACAACTTTGGTCGGCAGAGCTAAAAGTGTAGTCAAAGAAACACACATTGAATGAACCACCACAAACGTCAGGTCCTACATTCTCCAAAAGACATTGGGTCTAGCTTGAAAAATCACCCCTCGTGGCAAGGCGTGTTCCATGTGTTCCGTGTGAGTGGGCCAAACCTCCCACAAATCACAGAGATTTAAAGATGAATCGTTCCTGACTGGGCAGGACTCTTTCTCAGCTCACCCCAAACAAAAGCTGCTGTGCAGCCACTCTGCATGTCATTGCAGCATATACATATACCTCAACGACGTCACGTCAGAAAAAAACAAAAAACAACGACCTACGACGAAGGCAATAGTAATCACGGAATGTCATATTATGTCTCGGCCGTCGTCATCACGGCCATACGTGCCCCCCGAAGGCGTGCACGTGTTTTTTTTTGGTGCTGACTGTTTTGTTTCACGTTTGTTGACCAACATGTTGGTGTTCAGTTACATGTGGGGGGGGCTGGAGGGGAAGTGACGTTCTTTCGTGCCTTCATTAGTTTATGGAGTGCGCCACAGAACGTCGTGGACACCGCAGCAGCATGGTGCAGCCGGGTCGCGTGGTGCTCGACACTTGGGCGCAAACAAGAGGTTGGCAGGTTCAATTTTTTGGTGGCTGTGTGTATGATTGTGGCCCCAGCTGATTTGAAACTTGTTGCAGGTGGCGCTCGGCCGACACAAGAAACTTGTGCAGAGATAGTCTGCTCAGGCCTGCGTGACTGTGAAATACGCAAGCGTGTGAAGAGTCAATGGACGAAGCATGCCAAAGTCAATGGGCGAAGCATGCCTGGCTGTGGAATAGAGCTTACCAGTGGATCTACCGCCACAAAGAGCGGAAACCTTGAAAGCAGCAAAAGAACATAAAAGAACTGAACCAACACTTGTGAACAAGCTATAAAACCCAAAGTTCTGTGTTGGTTCAGAAGCCACGAAATCTGCACTTCCGGCACGGCTTTTTCTGCTCAGAATGCCACCAAAAATTAAAACTACCACAAGCTATATAGATCCACTGAGCCCCACACTGCTTGGGCCAGGTCATGTCCCAGCGTTCGCACCTCGAGGCGAATCGATGTGAACAGTGATCCGGGTGGACAACAAGAGGGTGCTGGCTCAATGGAGGGGACGCGAAGGGCAACCACTGACTCGCAGGGTTCAATCATGTTCAATACAACAATGCACTAATGACAACGTTCATCAAATGATATTGCGTCTAATTTCCAACGGTTTCACTCATTTTTTCAACTTGTCTACCGACCGTGAGCCGTGATGAAAACTCTCCAACTGAACCAACTGGCCATGGCAGGTGAAAGGACGCACTTGTTGAGCCCTTAGCAATGAAACTGTGCAGGACACTTGCTTGTATCAATCCTGTGCACTTTCCATCGTTTTATATACGTACTTGCCCTCCATCGTATTGCATATTTTGTTTCAAACACCGACCCCCCCGGGGTAGATGGAAGCTGTTCCACCACTGTCTGTCACTCTCTGACTCTCTCACTAACGGTTGACTGACTGAGTGACGACGGACAAATATTGTTGAAGGCTACTTCTTCCGGCTCAAAAAAAAACAGCACCGAAGAAAATCAGGTGTTTCCGCCTGGCGTCTTCCCAAAAAGCCCCCTCGCTCTTCATCGACGAACAACCACGGCATGGCCATGGAAAAGAGACCGACGACCAGCGGACCGGGCTCGGCGCATAGAGTCCACCGCCACAGCGCACCCTCAGGGTGAAGTGGGGCGGCCTCACGTTGCCACACGAGTCGCTGCGAGCCGGAGAGAGAGAGAGAGTTACATACAGCGAAAAGATTCGAGGATGGTTCATTTGTTCCAAAAGAAATGGCCAAAATTGGACTTGGTCTTATCTACTTTGGCTTGGGCTTTGGTGGTCTCTCATTGTCTCTCGAGTCATCCGGGTCTCAGCAAGTCCCGATGGTCTTGCATCGTGCGAAAGGAGTCATGCTCAGACGCTCCATGCTTGGTGGTTTCAGGGTGTCGTTTGGTTAATGAGGGGTCCCCATTTGTTACTAAGGGGCCCGCAAAGGTGGACACCTGAAGCCGAAAAGTCGCCTAGTGACCTATAGTGATAGCTTCAAATACAATGCTTTACATAAGTAAGTTCACGTATCTGTTCACGTATTAACCTCCAAATCGAAGGGTCTTCCTCTTGCCCTTTGCAAAACAATTAGAGATTATTCGATATTCTTCGCGATATTCTTTGCATGTAAGCTCTTCATCAGAGTAAAAACAACATTAAGAGATCGAAGGGTTATGTCACCGTGCCATGCGGTTTTGAGCGACCTCGGTGGAAACTGCGTTTGCGTGGCTCTATGCCATTGGGGAACGGTGCTAGTGAGAACACGATTGGTGGGCCTTCTAGTGGGTGGGTACCTAATGAAAAAAGAAACGACCCAAATTTACCTAGGTTTGTGTTTTTCAGTACGAAGGCGGTAATTAAAACACCCACATGTCACATATACACTTTTTTAGAATAGGTATATACTCGGGAGTATTCCATAAATGGAGTGTCTGAGAGGACACACACTAACAAAACATGCTTTGCAACGTCATCGCAGCAAGCTGGGTAGTGGCGCTCTGTGCGGGTTTACCCGGTCAACATCTCTTAAGCGAGCCATGTTCAAATGAAAAGTAGAGTGGCATTGTTGGTCAAGCTGTTTGCATGCAACCTTCAAATCCTCAACTGCAACCAAACGAACATCTAAACCACAACGACAAACACACTGCTGGGCCGAGATCAGAACGTCTTCTTTTCGAATGTACTTTGCTGTTTGGGACACTCGGCACCCCACAAAACATCAAAAAGAGTTCGGCAATACATCCGCACACGATATCAAATGCCATGCCCCCAGGACTGCCCCCATGACATTGCGAGCTGGTTCGAAAGTCAAAAGTTCTTCTGAGGCCCGGGCTGGAACTCCAGTAACTCCAGTTCGTCCACCTGCACCTCCAGGCCATGCTCGAGCACATCTGAGCACTGGATGCATGGGGTGGAAAATACCGTCCTCATCCGCCAATGCCAGGGGGTAGTACGTGAGGGTTACTTTGGGTTGGGAGTTGGGGAAGGCGAAATGGAGGAAAATGGCGGTGAAAGCACGCAGGTCGGTTGCATCAGGTTGCATCCAACGTGTTCGGCCACCTCAAATCCACCTCAGGCTTCGAACATGTTGCGACCGTGACATATCTATCATGGGACAAGAACGCCACACCAAACAGAAGCGGGGACCTACTACCGCAAACGAGAGCCAGTAATCCGAGTCTTTTAGGAGTTCCTATCTTCCGCACAAACCTCTCCTCACCATCCATCATGTTTGGCACATCTTCGCCCTCGTCTTTTCGTTCCGAATTTGTGGCGTCCGGCACGTGGCAGCTTGATGGCAGAGGCCAACGAAACCAGAACCTAAGAACTACTGAGCTGCTGTCAGCGACATGCACCGAGGACGTCTTCAGGTGAAACGCATTGGCTCAGCTGCGGCCTGACAGTTCATGCCCGGGATGCTTCGTGCCATCATGTTTTTCTGAACTTAAGCTGTTGTAGATCTTATACCACACTCAAGAGGCATCAGCCCGACTTATTGCTTTGTTTTGCAATTTCATACTTGCACTCCAGATGGCTCCCCCTCCAATCCCACCCAGAAAAGCAATCAAGACTATGCCCATGGACCCTAGCTCCACCCTGGCAACTTGGACTTCCTTTCTTTCGCATCTTTCGGCTTCTCCGTCCCAGTTCTCCGACGCTCCGCGTCCGTCCGTGGCGCTGGCCAAGGCCTATGACTGGCGACAGCAACTGGTGACTTCGTGACTGGGCGGCTCGGGCGGCGGGTTTTGCACCTGAGCCGAGGAAGAAACCCAAACAGTCCATACACACTCCATACTTGGATTTGTTTTAAAGGAACCCGGACCAAAAAAGAAAAAGAAGATCGACCGTATGATTCCCCAGAAGGGGGTTCACCACAGGGACAGAACATTAAATGGACAAGGGTGTGCACTTGACGTGCGCTCTTCACGACTGGAGTCGCTTGTGGAACATCCTGAACATGAGGCTGTGGAAAGAAAGAGTGTTCAGAGCATGTGGTCACTTTGTGGTTTGGTAAGTGAGAAATGATGTCCAAATGCTGCTGTTGGCCCAAAGTTTTCTTGAATAATGTCGTGATTGGCTTGATGGCTGCAAGAAGGCAAGCAAGGTACAAGTAGCAAATTATGGTTGTAAGATGTTGTAAGTTTCAGATCGCTTCTGAGCCTTCCACTCAAAACAGCAGGCGCACTCTTTTTCGATGGTGCAGCAGTTGGAAATACATTTGGGTCTTTCCAATAATTACAGTATGTGTCTGAACTCTGGCCACTAACCAGCCATTCAGAAACCAATCAGGGGTGAGTGGGTACCCCAGGGCTTTGCACAGACACCAGGCAAGGGGACTGGGCTTTAGCAATCTACCCTCGACAACGCACAAACCTTCCTGACTGCGCAAGTGAATGACCCAAACCCAACGCAAAACCAGGCATGTATGGAATATATAATGTATTATACTATATTATACACATATATTTAGTATATTTTCATATATGCCGGACCCCCCAAACCACCCCACTGAGCGGCACAAGTCGTGGCAGTCCGAAACGTTTCACCATCCTCCCACGATCCACGAGCCAGTCCTCCGGCGAAATGGCTAATTGCATTTGGGAACACACAAGGTTGTATACCAATGCCCCCTCAAAGGATTTGCAAACATCGCCCCCTAACGGTGATTCGGTGTCCATTCACCCAAAAGTGGGAGGCCCTAGGACCACATGCTGACCATCCTATCGCCCCCTACGCCCGACTGGGCGCCCGGACAGCTCGAGTCTCGCGATCCGAACCGCTGCTGAGTTGGCTGGGCTTCCGCCGCCGCCGGCCCTGTGTGCTACCGTGGAGTGTGAGATCCAAAACAGCACCGGGGTGGTTCGATGTGGAGACTGGGTCGGGAGACTGGGAGACATCATCCAACTTCTTGGCTGCACTTCGCGGGGTGCAAGTGTTAGTGATGTTTTTTTGCTGTTTGGTGTCTCCTTGCCAGTTGGGTGCTGCACGATATCAAAGGTCCGTGACCTGGAGATAGGAAAGCCCAAAGAGATCCGCTGTCTTGGTTCTGATTCTATTCTAGACTCCCAACTGCCATCAGCTTAGGATCCCGCCTGCCCTGTGCTGGTCCTGACCTCCGGTGCCGAAGAGCCACCCATCATGTCCTGCAAACGAGCCGTTTCAACGGCAAGAGCCGCCATCGACCGAGGTCGTGCCTCCATCGACCAGGGCGGAAACACGCACTCACCCTAGGACTCAAGGCTCAAAAATCAAACCCACCTGCTCAAATCCTGTTCATTGGCGGCACTCCAACACCGCACATGGCGCCTTCAAATCAATGTCAAATATTTCGGCATCTCCCAGAGTCACCGGCCAACAAAACCTGCATGCTGCAGGTAAGAAATCGGCCGCATGCCAGTGCTCATTTCAGTCGCTAAACTCAAAAACGGAACCTTCCCCGGTTTCCCTCTGATCTTCATCTTTATCGGTTTTTGACCGGTTGCAAGTTGCGGGCAGCTCTTTCCCACGTAAGTCCGCCGCAAGCTCCCAAAACATCGCACCCGAAACAGCTGTTTTTGTCATTTGGGGAATCAGTCTGACCATCCTGTGGGGTGCCCCTCCGATGTGCAAAACATCGAAGCAATCTGGTGCTTTCGGCGTATCAGGTTTCACGGACCGATCCAATTCCCAGCCCAAGCCACAGAATCGACTGGAGTTCTCTGGTCATGTGGTTTAAACAAATTGGTTTATATCCCTGAGGATCGAAAGTTAGCTCTATATGCTAACATTTGGGGTTGTGTCTTCTGGGCTCTCCGACCTCACCCTGTGAGGTCCGACCTCAAAAAACGAGATCATACCAGAACCCAAAAACCACAAAACCAACGATCCCAAATCACGGCCCGTCACGGGTTGTCACGCTGGAGTCCGACAATGACCTCATTTTGAAGGGGAAAAATAGACCAATCACGGTCTGTCACGGTTCGTCACGCCCTGGTATGCTTGGTTCTTGGGATTTCATGGTCTTATCCTCCGACAATGATACTGGAATTGTATATACATTTCAGGTACCCCAATCTGTGATTCGACAACGTCTTCAAATAACACGATCAATAGAAACGTATGCATATCCTGAGATCATTTCTATTTGTGACCTATGTGTGTTTCTTTTCTCGCGATGTCTCACCGTGCCCCGGTCTGGGAACAGGTCTGCCACGTCTGACGCGCCCAACCGCGGTTTCACACCACGGTTTAACGGAACCGAAGATGACAAGCTGCCCATCACGCTTGTACTCCTCCGACAAGGTGAGGTTCATCCTAAGGTGGCCAGTCTGCCACCCTGCCCAGCCCGCTGAAAAAACATGTTTTTAGTTGGTCAAACAAAAAAGGAGTCCAAAGGCCAGACTGGTCTGGGCCGAAGTGCACCACCAACCCCAACCCAAAACGGGTTATGGCCGACTTGAAAATGCGGAGACCATATGCCACTGATATCTGTCCTGTGAATTTAGCGTAAAAAGGTGGAGACGGCATTGAGGGCCTGTGAAAAAGAGAGAACTCTGTCCGAGTTCCACGGTGTGTTTGGCCCAAAACCGATGCTGAAGAACATCCCGGCAAAGAAAACCCCAGGCCGGTGCATTCTTGATAGAATCTGACCCACTTTGTATAGGGCTTTCCCCGAAAGGTCCACCCGTCCACGGTCCGCAAGCAACGTCTTCTCCGACTCCTTACCCTCGGTTCAGACGCTCCAATATACGCGGAGCGCGGGGACCGACCGGTGACGCCGGTTTCTTCTGTCATGTTTGATCATTAGCCAGAAGGCTAGAAAAAGCTTCAAGATCTGGGAAATTCCTAAATTCACCTAAATTCTGCAGATATATATATATATATATAGCATCCTATGACTGGAACATACTGGAACAGCGTTTGGCGCTAAGACTACTTCGTCCAGTTCCCAAAAAGACACACCAACTCCTTGGTGCATCTTCGGCCGAGATGCTCTGCGTTGCCGGTGCCCAAGGTGAGGCGCAGGGTGGTAGGCTGAGGCGGTGCAAAGAAGCTCTCAGGGTTGGAGTTGTCCTGAGTCGAGACTGATGGAGTTGTCTCCAAGTACTCCAACCCTCACTCAAGACTGGAGTTGTCCTGCTCGAAATTCTTGGAGTTGGACCATCGAAGGACCTGATAGGGCTCCTAGTCATCGCCCTTCCTCCAAAGGCCTTTTGACCATCCAAACCCCATTCCTACAAAGGGCAAAGAGACAAATCCTGCACCATGTGCGTGCGGAACATTGGAAGTCTCAATCTCTTCGTGGATGGGGGTGGATGGGTGATCTATATGGTTTTCTACTTAATGGATCTCAAGTTAACCAAACGGACTGGCAGCTGGACGAGTTTGATGCATCCGGGAAGGGTCACCCCTTCCAAAAAGAAACTAAGATCCCTGTGATGAATCAAAGCGGATCAGCTCAGTCCCTCTCCTTCTGCTCCTTAAGTTCTTTCAATTTTTGGCTTGTGTTGCCTAGCCGCCTAGCCATGCCCAACCCCTTCCTACTTATTCCTACGTCCCACCAAAATCGGAGGCATGTAAAAAACGGATCGCACCGGTTGTCCATCCCTGTCGGCTCAGGGGCCACGAGCTCTGCAATCAGCAGCACTGGGACACCCAGCTCGATCCTCAGAGGCTCAGAAAAGTCGATGTAAAGCAGGAAGATCAGGAAGTGTAAACCAGGAAAAGATCAGGAACTGTAGAAAGTGATGCTATAGAAAGTGTCTTGAGTCCCTCCTGTTCTAGATTCTGTTGGATTCTTGTTGGATCAATCATCCCAAAATTTCCTACCAAGGGCAACCGCGACTCCATCCAGGTGCGAATGCCTGCAGGTTGAAGAAGTCTACAGT